CTCCTGCCCTGTGAGAGGCCTGCACTGTCTTTGCCTTCTGCCTAGGTTTTGTAAGCTTCCTGAGGCCTCAACAGAAGCAGATAGCCAGCACTATGCTTCCTGCACAGCCTGCAGAACTGTGAGCCAGTTAAACCTTTGTTTCTGATAAATTAACCACCCACAGGTATTTCTTTGTTTCCGATAAATTAACCACCCACAGGTATTTCTTTATAGCAACCCAAGAAAGGCCTAACGCAGCATATGATGTGGAAAATGTACACAGCATATTAAGCGGAAAAAAAGCCGATTGCAAAATAGATTCTTTCCCCATTTCCTTTTGGTTTATCTGTATGTTCAAATGTTAACAAAAGTTATCTCAGCATACTTTTTTTCAAGTTAAACAAAAATAAAAATGTAAACCCTATGAGCTTTCCCTCTCCTTCTCTCCCTTCGCTTTCTTATTAGTTTACTTATTATACAGATCACACACACACCAAAAAAAAAAAAAAAAAAAAAAAAAATCACACTAACCAATTTAAAGTTTGGATTAAACATTTATGCATGGCTTGACAAACTCTACACAATTCCTGCTACTTAACACTATTTCCATCTTATTTATTTTAAAAGCTGAATAATATAGAATTAATTATTATAAAACATTTCAGAGATTAAAAGGCTATAAATAATTGGAAAAAAGAGAACAGTTTTACTCTAGAGAAGAATTATTGGTTCTTTCTAATCAAGGACAATCTGTTAGCAATAAGAAAGGGAAGGAGGGAAAAAGACAATGCTGGTTTTTAAAATATAAAACAGTATCCAAATTCATGGAATATTATATCTCTACAAGGTGTTAAGAACTATCTTCAATCACTTTTCATAAGGTTCTTGGGATAGGGTCCCAGTCTTACTTATCTAGAACTAGGTAAATAAGTGCCTGCCTGCCAGGTAGTATGTACTCAATCATTATTTGTTCAAATATGATCTAATTACTTAATGCTTATAATCATCTATATTTAAAATTTTTTAAATATCTTAACCCATTTCCCATTTTGGAAAAAAAAAAAAAGTACAGCTTGCTGCCAGCACAGTATTCTTGGTGCAAACGTTAAATGGGTTAATACAGTCTAAATCAGTGTGTCTGGTTCATTTCAGCTCCTTCACTGCCAAACCAGGGGTCAAGGACTGCTTTAGTTTTTCTGCCTTCTCCTTGTCTGTGATGATGAATGTGTAAGGTATCTTCTGCATCGAACTTTAAACTTCACATTGTCCTTATTGATCTATTTTTTAAATTAAGAAGTTATGGTACAAGGGGATAAAGTATCTCATTCAAGGGCTCCCACTTCTGGAGATTCCCATTCACGTCTGCCTGGTTCTGAGGATCATTATTTCAGCCCAAGACTCTACACCTCTTCTAGGGGAGAGGACAGGAGTCAAATCTTTACATTATTGAGCTATTGTGGCTTACAACCCCACTTTCAGAATGGTACACAGGCCTGGGTCTAGTACTTGACCAGTGGTTCTCAATGTGAAGTGATTTTGTCCTCCAGGGGACATTTTAGCAACCTCTGGAGGTACTTTTGTTTACCACAACTGGGGAGACGCTATTAGCAGATAGTGGGGAGAGGCCATGGAGGTTGCTAAACATACAATTCACCCCCACCCTCACCCAACAACAAACTAGTAGTCCAAAACATCAATAGTGTTAAGGTTGAGAAATTTTGTACTAGATGATTAAAATACGGTGGAACATTGTCCTTATGTTTAAACTAGCACCAAGAGTGAAAGCAGCAGCCAGCATCTGCCAGGTTTATAAGTAGAGTTGTGGAAACTGTAAATCTCCCCAGCACACCACTATTATCTTCAGCTGTCTCAAGAGAAGCACCTGATTTTGCAAGCTGCAATGGAGACAGGGAGGACAGAAGGTTAACAAGTATTTAATTCTCAGTGAACCTGAGTATGTTTCAAGTCGTAGTGTCCAGGTGTGCAAGAAGAAACTGCTGGTTTTCCTGGATTCATGGAGGTCTTAGATCTTCTGATAACTTCTACCAAGGTAAATAAGACTATTACGTATTTAGGCAGTTTTTAACTACTTCACATCTCTAATTTCTAGTATCTAAAATTTAGTAAGAATTGCTACAGAGAAAAAAACTCACCCAAAACAGAGGAGATTAACGGAGACTATGCAAGGCTTCCATTGTTGCTCTCCTTACCACCCTCTGGCCCCCCAGCCCTGCCCTCTCTGTCTGACTTGGTAGATTATTCATACATTGATGGAGTTGGGAAACCCACAGGGTACGTTGTAAATAAAGGAGGAGCAATTTCGTAGAGTTAACTTTTTAGTAGTAATAACAATAAAGGAAAAGGTAAACATTTTAAAAAAGTATTAGGAACAATAGAGAGAAACAGTGAGACGTACATTTGTGAAGTGACACCATCAAAATTTAATTATCCTGTGACAAGGAGCTTCAATATAGTGGATAAGTCAAAGAGACCTGCCTAAACAGAACAAGTCGTCATATCTATAAAGTCTATGAAAAGGACACTGTAATCCACGAAGGGGAAGGGAGCACTCCTAGGGTGGCTTCACTCTGCCAACTGAAACTCCTATGAATGCATGGATCCATTAAACAGAAAGGCAAGTAGAAACATTCAGTTTGCTGCAGCGAGGGAATCCAGAAATTATAACTGAAGTGAGAAAAGCTGTACATGCCACTTCTTAGCTCCCCCTTAAGGATTTCTGTTGAGCCTTAAGTCCTGAAGAATTTCATGAAGTAGAAACAAGAATAAATATTTCTTACTGTGGAGGTCTGGATGAGAATTAACCATGGGACTGCTTTATCTTTCGCCTACTTAAACTAAAACGTGGGTCTCTTCAGGGGAGGTAGACATGGAAATACATGAAGCAATGGTTACCACAAAAAAATTCCTAACATCTACACAAAAAAACTATTGTCATTAACACAGTGTAACATAACACTTCCAAGAAAATATTTGGTTGATTCATAATTAGTTCAAGAAAGAAAACTAAGTATTTAATTGCTACCCAAAGGTATTTGCTACCAGGTTATTTGCTACCCGAAGGTAAACAAGTAATGGACACTATAAAATACAATAGAATAGAATCCCACCAGTGACCTGCTTTCTTTTTGTTTGTTTGGTTTTTGAGACAAAGTCTCACTCTGTTGTCCAGGCTGGAGTGCAGTGGTGTGATCTCAGCTCACTGCAATCTCTGCCTCCTGGGTTCAAGTGATTCTAATGTCTCAGCCTCCTGAGTAGCTAGGATTACAGGCACCTGCCACCACACCAGGCTAATTATTTTTGTATTTTTAGTAGAGATGGGGTTTCACCATATTGGCCAGGCTGGTCTCAAACTCCTGACCTCAGGTGAACCACTCACCTCAGCCTCGCAAAGTTGACCTGCTTTTAAAAGTTTACAAAAACCACTTGAAGTGGTATAAGAAGTCAAAGAGAAGTACTCTTTTAGCTTTAAGATTTCTTCTGGGTTAAAAATGACAGTAAAATAATTACATGTGTGGGATTGCTTCAGTTATTCTACAAGAGACCTTGGTGCAGACAGTCCTAGCAAAGATAACACAACCGACAAAAACACAATTGTCTTATATTATAAATAATACATTTTTCCAGAGAAAAAGTGATATATATGATAGGTAGTTTTTCTGACAGATGATCAAGTTTACACAACCCACAATGTAACTGAAAGTTTCAGCGCTTTGTTTTCCTCACCTAGAAAATCAAGAATGGGCCTCAATCTCTTAGGTATTATTTAGCTGTAAAATTCTGATTCTAGGACTCCAATTTTAACAGAGCTTCAGAAATCTGCACTGCTTCTTTGAAACACTTTAAAATAATAACCAAAAAAGATACATTTTCTCCTCATTCTCCTCAATATCCCTAAATTTCCAGGAGATACTGTGGGGGCTGCAGGCACAGGTGAAGAAGTATATTACATAAATGCAAAACAAGTTATGTTTAATGCCTGCGTTAATGTGGGTTTGTGTCTAAGACAGGTAAAAGCTGTTAGCAAATTCATTGATAAAAAGCCTATTGTTTTTCACATTAAACTATAATTTATTAAAATGAGACAACTCTCCCGATGAGAATGACCATTCTAGGTAATAATCAGCCAGAGGGTGCACCCTTGCTTAGAATTTAATTTTGTTTACTGAGAAATCATGTTATGGAAGCTTGCCGAGTGTGTTTGCTCTTGGCAGGTGTGTTAGCCAGAAGGTCTGGCTAGATGATGATGTTTTTAAGAGGCAAGATGCATGGTTTTAACTGTGTTGAAAACTAATTGCAGGGACTCTATAAGACATTTTTATTCTACCACATATATGAAATAAAAGCATTTGTTTCTAAAAAGAATATTCCCTAATTATTTTTATTATAAAGACATCCTCAATGATATACTGTTGAAGAATTTCTATGCCACTATCCCTCCTATTCTAGACTGCCACATAACCAAGAAGGTATCTTCTTTGGTGATTTAAAAATACAATCTTTTCTAGGAGTATACAGCTCCTTGAACCTATCCAGGGGATCACATTTCTTATGCTGCTGAGCTATAGACACTCCCTCCATAAAGCCAACAAATATTTCATTCCCTAGAATTGTAAGCACTTTAAATATTATAATCCTGCCTCTTTCTCGCATTTAAGAGGCATTTGGATCTGCTCCATAGTATTCCTTCATCCTCAATGAAAGATCACTTCTAATTACTGGTACTTGAGAACATCAAATTCTTCTTTCACTTAAAAATCAACTTGGTAGAAAGTTATGAAAGTGGTTCAGAACATAGTACCTATGACGGCTCCATATTTGTTATATTAACATCATCATTTAGCAGAAAGCCACTTTAAATAATATCCTTCTAGAATTCTAAAATCTCCAATTCAGATAATGCTCTTAATCAATAATAAAATGAAGTATTTTAAGATAAGGAATATCAAAATGCAATCCAAACCTAACAGACCCACAGACTTTCCATTGTAGCCCACACTCACCTCTCCCGAGGAACGGCAAACCAGTACTCTGGCTGCTTTCTCCGTTTGCCGTACTGCTGGACCATGGCTGCAGTGTGAGTGGCAAAAGATTTTCTCATTGGTTTTCCCACTTTGATGCACAGGAACATGGGTGGGGTCTTGCTTTTTTCTGCTTTTGAAGGAAGTATATCTGAATCACACATGAAAAAACTCTTCCTCAATATTGACAAATTGATAATAGAAGAACTTTTCAACTTAAAAAGGATAGTGCACAATCCTCTCTTAGTCAAAACTTTGCAGAAACATCCTACAACATCATATCAGGACTAATAAAATTTTCAAGCCTTTTTTAGTACACAAGGAAAAAGCTTTGGTTGTTTCAGGTTGAAGTACATCCCATGAGTTGCTACATACTGAAAATAAGTATAAAAACCAACAGAATAGCAAATAATGGAGAATTGGGACAATTCATATTAATGAATGCTACTGATAATCCAATTATAACAATGCAATTCAGTTTAGAATTGAGATCTCTTCAAAAACAGTTTAAACTCCTCTAGATTTAGAAAATAAAGGTTAAAAAAAGGAAGTAGCTTGAAAGATTAAAAGTAAACTACTTTTGAAGTAGGTATCTAGAGATCTATGTCATAGCTCAAGTTCCAAAATAGATACCATATCTTGTAAATTTTCTCTCCAATTGTTAATGCTATCAGCAAAGATATACTCTATTGAGAAAACATTGTTTTCAAATAATTGTACTAATTTGGATATTACATGTGCAAATTGTAGAAAGGCAATTATACAACAGAATATAAAGGCATTAAAGAAAAACAGCTTACCTTCAATGGGTACCTGAATTCTCTTTAACAGCCACAACTGAACTTCAGATTTATTATCCATTTGTGCACCTTGACAGCTGTTGTCCAGAGTAGATTCCAAAGAGGAGTCTAGAGCCTCTTTAATCACATTTTCTTCTGTAGAAGAGTTCAGTTTTACTGGGAGGGGCTCTCTCTCTTTCACACAGGTCTTATCTGGCTCTTTGTTGCCCTCAGTTAGGGGATTGCCTGCCTGGGAAAGAGAACTACTAAGGGTAATGTCTATTCCCCCTGGTTCAATACTTTTTCCATCACTTAATTCTGTTTTCTGCAAATTTTCAGATACCTGTGACCCTTCTTTGTTCTTATTTAGGTAATATTCAATGAGTTTAACTTTATCTAGATCTTCATGTATGTTCAGAGTGTTTTCTACCCGGCTTTCTGGTGAACCAGACTGCTTGTCCACTTCTGGCATTATATCCTGCTTCTCACAGGTTTCTAAATCTAGCGCCCCCTTCAGTTCAACATCATTTTCTGTTCCCAAAAAGGCTAGAGCAGACTGCACCTGCATTTCCACGGCTGAATTGTTTATTTGTGACTCAACCTTCTTTCGTTTCTCTGGGTCAAGAGAAAGGCACTCCTTTGAGGTGTCTTTTTTGTCCATTCCACCATCAGTTTGAGAAGAAAGTTCTTCCAAGTCAACAAAATCATCATCTTCCCCTAGAAAGTTTTCTTTGGCTGTAGATTCAAATGCAGCAGAAGTGTTGGAAGGTTCCTTGCTAAGCTTAGTCACTGTGGGAGAGCCATGGGATGTCTCCCTAGAAGATTCCTGTTTCTTTAATTTCTCTGACACAGAGCTGCCTGAGGGCTTTGTAGGTGTGTGTTCTGTGGACTTCTCCAAAGGTACTGTTGGTCTGGAATCCGAAGTCATGATTTTCTCTCCATTCTGCTGTCGTTTTTCCTTGTTGATAGATTTGAACTTACTGAATGGGTTGATATCCTTTTCTGAAGCCAGGTCTTCCCATTCTCCAGGCCTGTACAGAGGACAAAGATCCTGAGGTAGGTCACTGTTGGGGGAGAAATGGTGGGTGCACATGGAATGTTAAAAATAAAACCAAAAACAAAATGGAGGAAAGGCAAAAAACAAAACAGAAACGCAACGAAAAACTAATACATAAATATACCACAACTTAAATTTATGTTCAAATGATTTCAGAATAAAAAAATAAAATCAAGAAATTGATTTCAAAATGAAACATAAGTCAACTAAAGGAAATGGTGAAAGAATGAACTATGAGAGTTGCATATCCTACTGGAAGCACATGATGAATTTGGAAGTTATACATGAACATGGAGATGTTACCCATAAGATCTCTAAATATGAAATAATAATGTATCTGACTTTCACGAAGGAAAGGATAAAGAAGAGGAAATATTTTAGTATCAATGTCTAAAATTCCTTAAATGTGCAAACCTTTTCCTTTTCATCAAATAGTATAGAAAACAATTACACTAATTTTGAAATGCTCATTGACTTAGTAGCTACTCACTTAACTGCTCCATATAAAGTCACTGACCTTGAACCCTGATTCTGGGTTTCATGGCTTAGGATCTGATGCTTCTAATCATGGACAGCCCTCTACTCCCAAAGGAGATGCAAGAGGAAGCTTCCACTATTATTGTTGGTATATGGCAATTGCTCCATCTTATAATTTAAAAATGTATAGAAAAGTGAATCTTATTTAAAAAGCTCTTATGTATAATACTTACATTTCTTAAGTAAATATTTCATTTTATAACAATATCGCTTTACTTTATAGCAATGGTGCAGCTCGTTTATCAGCTGAAACACATTGTACTGGGATGCAGTCAATTATCTTTCCTTAATAACAGATGCTCTATTTCCCAGATTGGAATTACATAAAAATACTGATTAAACATGTTCTCCCAAGTGTAAAATAAATGATCAAGAAATATACTTTAAAAAGAGCAGCAAACCACCATGGCACGCACCTATGTAACAAAGCTGCACATCTTGCACATGTACCCTTGAACTTAAAATAAAAGTTGAAAATAAATAAAAATAGTAATAATTTCAAATATGTGTAAAAAATATGATTGGAAATATCTTGAGTAAACCCATCCACTTACCACTGCTACTAGTAGTGTCATTACTGGGTTGAAATGCAGAGATATAAAAACCCTTTTAAAGAATAACATTTCAATTTTCAGAAATAATTATATTTTCTAAAAAGGTCAGATCATCTTCAGATAAAACTTTATCTGCTATTTTGGCTTTGAAATAAATGGTTATGACAATAAAGCAACAAAGTACCAGGAAGTTCTGAAGTTCCAAAAGACTGTCTTCCCAAAGTGATTTTATAAACCATCTGCATGAAAGGTTCATGCTTTTTCCAATAGAAAATAAAAGCCTACGTAATTGGTTGGCTCCAACAAATGCTTTAAAAAGCCTTCGTAATTTATAATTCATTTCAATTTAATAAGCATTCACTGAGCCCCTAAGTGCTGTATTCTGAAATACAATTGTGACAGAATCTCTGTTCTGCAGGAGCTTGCAAACACAAAATGTTTTGCCCAACACCAGCATCCCAGGAGATGTTAAAAATGTTTCCATCCTAGATTCAAATAAGTTAGTGAAATGTAGCATAATCTCCCTATTGGAACTCAAAACCTAACTAGGCATATTAAAGGCTGTCAGAATTCCTGCAACAAAGAAACCCAACTTTCCACATACTTGATGAATAAGCAAAACTTTCTTCCCCTTCTCTACCTAGCTTGACCCCTACAAAAATACCTTCAACTGCACTCTAATTAGCTTTCTAGATTACCTTGTCTACCCCTTTCTTCTTTTACCTAATCCAAACTGCCCATTCCCTACTTGAGATTAATTTCACTATCTGCTTTTTCTGCAGTGCAGTTGCCAAGTGTACATAATGGTGTCAACTGGCTAGTTTGTTAATTAATGTTTTCTAGACTTAGCCGGGCACCTAATGATGATCAATAATCCTTTCAGTTGTTCCCTTCTTACTCACTGTGGCAGCTGGAGCCACAAAACGTCCTGCACGTGTGTGCATGCACGCGCGTGCGGGCACACACACACACCTTCATCACACAAAGTACCAATTGAAGGTGAGGATGGAGGAGTTTACACACATCCACTTTATAAAACTATTGCATGTTGCCATGGGGTAATTTGTACTTACTGTATTAAACTGTTCGGTAATAATGATGTTTTAAGTAATTTTTAACTTTTAAACAATTTATGAAATTCTGAAGACAATACCAAGTTTATTTCACATGATTCCACACCATTTTGTTTACTTTAGACTAAAAATCCTTTTATATACCTGCATCCAAGGCAGGAATCATGGCAACCCTGAAATAATTTCACACAAATTGGAAGCTGATTCTTAAACTCTGCTCTTTTCCTCGTAATCTGCATGGATTATCCCTTATAATCGAGATCATTAAACATAATCTCACAATGAGAAAGTTTTATATAAAGAGTACTGTCCGCCGGCGCGTGGCTCAAGCCTGTTAATCCAGCACTTTGGGAGCGCGAGACGACGATCACGAGGTCAGGAGAATCGGAACCCACTGGCTAACACGGTGAAACCCGTCTCTTTTGAGAGTTACAAAAGCAACTAGCTGAGGGCGGCGGCCCCGCCCCCCTGTAGTCCCAGCACCCCGCTCGAGCTGAGCGGGAAAAATGCGTAACCCCGAGGGGGAGCTCTGCATGAGTGAGTCCGGCCATGCACTCCTAGCCTGCCGAGCAGAGCGAACTCCATCTCAAAAAAAAGAAAAAAATTAAAGGGGGTACTGTCTATTATTAAATGTAGAACGTAATTAAAATCCTAGGCTGAAGATGGCAATAGGTACTAAACTCCCTTAGGATGCCAGTACTCTCCCCGAGTAGGAATACCGCCTATTTGTTTGGCCACCCATTTAGACACTTCTGGCAGCAAAATTTGGAAACTACTTCAGGGCCCATGCTCTGGTGCTATCTTCAGTGGCTTGAGGTTGGGGAAGGGCTGCCTGGACCAGATTCTAACGGCTGTAGGAGTCCAGGGGAATCTACTTGCATAAACCCCCAGGGATTTTGTGTCTGGTTTAGCTCCCTAGTAATTTCCTTTTTTTTTTTTTTTTTCATACGAGCCCCAAGGGCTAGTTTCCCTCTGTACTGTTAGGACCTACTGCTCCGCCTCTTCCCATCACTGAAGGTTTTTAAAATTTTTTACTGCTGGTTTTTATAGAGAAACAGACACAGTAGAGCAAAAGGACAGTAAAAATCAGATCATCTGTATAAGTTAATCAATTCCCTGAGCTTTCTTAACTCTTTCTCTTTTTTCCTGGGGAGCTTCCCTCTCTTTTTTAACAATAAATCCTGCATTCTAAGGCAAAAGTAATCAGGACTGAAGTTAATCTACATTTCAGGGAAAAAGCAAATTGGTATTACTCCCTTTTCACAGCATGCGAAGGTGGTTACTACTCTACTTGACCCGAACCTCTCACTGTGCAGGACTGAGGGAGGAAATGAGTCAGGGAGACTGCCTTTCCTAGAAGCTAAATGGAGACAAACATAACTCTCCTTAGTTACACCCAGAAGAAAACATTATTCTCTTACTGATAGTTGGATACACTTCTTTCAGAAAAATGCCTTTCTTCTTCCATAATTTCATTAAGAACATGCACTGCTTTTTAGAAAAATAAGCCAAGCAAATACTATTTTAACATGATGGCTTCTTTTTCTCCTTTAATCTTTATATGTTCAACTTTTCCCCTCATTGACTTTATTCTTTTCATTTCTTCTCATTTTTCTCATTTTCTTCAGTGCACAAATCTTCCACCTTCGAAACCACGTCTACACAATCCCGCAATCATGCGAATGCCCTCATTTTTAAGCTACATTTAACTCTCAACACCCCCTTTTTCCTGGTAAACAAAGAAATGTCTTACGATGGCAAGGCATCTTTGATCTTCATGTGAGAAATGTCATTGTAGAGCGCAATGGAAACCACCTCTTCCATGGGGCAGATGAGACCATACTCCTCACACCCATTTTCAATAACCAGAGGATCAGACTTATGAGGGTCAAACATGATGTTGTTAGGAGTCACAATCATGACACCGCCAACCACACCCTGCAGGAGAAAGCAACAGGACAGAATCACTTCAGGCAGAAATGCTTTCGGCAACTACCACAGAGCTTTAACTAACTCAGATGGCCACTCCATGGACTTTGTGAACCACAGTATCCTATGTGACAATTACATCCCCTCTGTGAGGACCAGAAAAACAGGCTGAAGAAAGGCAATGCTGGATGGTGAGGCAGAGAAAACAGATGTGGCTCACTGAGGCAACCAACTGAGCCTGATTCTATCACAGCTGCTGCAACAGCACAGCTGGTTCTCACATATACGTCTCAGATTTCCCAGATCCTGGTTCTCACATACACGTCTCAGATTTCCTAGATTTTCTAGTTCTCTGTCTACAAAACGGGAGGGGCTGTCCAAGTGCTTTCCCGATCGAGAATACGGGGCTTTACAATTCACTCTGCAAGTCTTCCCCATGTGTCTAACAAGTGCATGGTTCTGTGCTAAGGGAGCAGCTGTTTCTGAGTTATAGTGCCAAAGAATAGTCCTGATATTTTTCTTTAAAATATTTAGAAAGCCCACATCCAACAAAAGTCAACATAAATAGGAATATGAAACTTTTGTAGCCAGAGTGAATACAGCTGAACTATGGAGATTAAAAGCAAAAAGTCGTAGCTTGGTGAAGTCTTAAAAGTCTGAAGGTTGCTCAAATTATAAAAGAGACCTTAATGGCCATAGGGATATTATCTACCATGAACAGCAGGATATAGATAACTTTCTTTGGGCAAATACTTTATTTTGGTACTTTTAATGAGTTTAGTGATTATCTTAGTAAAAAGTTTTGTAGATCCAGCAATCCCATTACTAGGTATATATCCAAAGAAAACGAAATCATATCTCAAAGAGGTATCTGCACTTGCATGTTTATTTGCAGCATTATTCATAATAGCCAAGATATGAAAACAACCCAAGCATTCCATCAATAGATGAATAAAGAAAATGTGCTATATATACACAAATTATTCAGCCATAAAAAAAGAATGAAATCCTGTCATTTGCAACAACATGGATGAAACTGGAGAACATTATGTTAGATGAAATAAGCCAAACACACAAAGATAAATACTGCATGATGTCACTCATATGTGCAATCTAAAGAAGCTGATCTCATAGAAATAGAGAGTAGAATGGTGATGACTAAGAGGTATGGGTGGGCCAGGTGCGGTGGCTCGGGCCTGTAATCCTAACACTTTGGGAGGCCAAGGCAGTTGGATCACCTGAGGTCAGGAGTTTGAGACCAGCCTGGCCAAAATGGTGAAACCCCATCTCTACTAAAATTACAAAATTAGCCGGATGTGGTGGCACATACCTGTAGTCCCAGCTACTCAGGCTGCAGTGAGTAGAGATCGTGCCATTGCACTCCAGCCTGGGTGACAAGAGCGAAACTCTATCTCACCAAAAAAAAAAAAAAAAAAAAAAAAAAAAAGAGGTATAGGTGTTTAGGGGAAAGAGAAGGATGGGGGAGATATTGGTCAAAGGATATATACTTACAGTTAGGAAGGAGGAATAATAAATTGTCTAGAATAGGCAAATACAGAAAGACAGAAAGTAGGTAAGTGATTGCCTCACAGAGATGGTGGTAGCAGGGAGGGGAAATAATAGGGTGGGAGAGTGTGAAATGGGGAATAACTACTAATGGTTATGGAGTTTCTTTTTGGGTAATAAAAATGTTTTAAAATGGATTGTGGTGATGGTTGCACAACTATGTGAACAAACTAAAAACCACTGGATTTTACACTGTAATTGGGTGAACTGTATGTTATGTGAATCACATCTCAATAAAGCTGTCTTTAAAAAAAGTTTCTTTATGTCAAGCATTATTTATTCTTGTTTGCAAACTTTATAAATGCACATCGGTAACATATTTTTCCTATTATCTAAAACTCATATGAAGTCTCCTATGACCACAGGAATTCACTGGTTATCAAGATAGTCCCTTCTCCAGAGGCTTACTAAAAGCTGAATTTGTTCTCTGTGAAAACAAAAAAACAAAAACACCCAGAAAACAATCAACCAACAACCAAAAAACTAAAAACAGGATACAGCAGATATTAATACTAATATCACCAACAGCAAATACAGGTTGAGAGCTTACTATTTTCCAGATTAGGTGCTAAATTCTTTACATACATTATCACTTTTCATTAGAATACTCTTATTAATTTTTTTATTGTTCCTATTTTACGCATGAGAAAAATGGAAGCTTAAGACATGTAAATACCTTGCTCCTGGTCTCAGAGTTAGTGGGTGGTAGAGTTAGAATTTAAATTCAGTGAGTCTGACTCCAGTGTTTGCTGTTATATGTGTATTATACTATCTCCCTAACAATTCATAGGCCCAAACTAAAAGAAAAGAAACAATGAATCCAAGGTCGCAAAGAATCACATTTCCACTCTGTGATAACATTTACCTCAATAAGCAAAATGGCCAGGCATCCAATAGAGGAAAACTAATAGATGCTTGTCAAATCTAAACTTGACACGCTGGGTAAGATCTTTTAATGTAGCCTCTGTTCCAGTAACTTGTAACCTTTAGTTTTTCATAGATTTCAAGGAAAGAAAACAAATTACATTGCTATATACCTTTCCATCGGTGAAGTATCGACAATTCATTTTTAAAAATTTCACCACACCTGGCTCGTCTTCTTCAGAAGTAGATGATAAGACTCTTTCAATGGGTTTTAAGGCCTTTCGTGCTAAGTCAGCATCCTTGTGAAAGCAAAAAATTTCAAAATCAAATAAAAGCACTTTTTCAAACAAATTATGTGGGTAGATCAAGCCCCATAAATTCCCTGTGACTATACTATTTCTATTTATGTGGAACATTAAACAGGCAAACATCCTTTGTCCTTCAAAAATATCACAAATGTAATAACAGATATCCAAATCAAACTAATTTTTTTTTTTTTTTAAGCAAAGGCATATGTATGAACCCATAAAACTTGCTCATGAAATGTCTTTAGAAACTAACCTCACTGGGCTGGGTGGGGTGGCTCATGCCTGTAATCCCAACACTTTGGGAAGCCGGGGTGGGCGGATCACCTGAGGTTAGGAGTTTGAGACCGGCCTGAGTAATACAGTGAAACCCTGTCTCTACTAAAAATACAAAATTGGGCCAGGTATGGTTGCTCACACCTGTAATCCCAGCACTTAGGGAGGCAGAGGCAGGAGGATCGCTTGAGCCCAGGAGTTTGAGACCGGCCTGAGTAATACAGTGAAACCCTGTCTCTACTAAAAATACAAAAATTAGCTGGGCATAGTGACAGGTGCCTGTAATCCCAGCTACTTGGGAAGTTGAGGCAGGAGAAACGCTTGAACCCAAGAGGCGGAGATTGCAGTAAGCCAAGACCGTGCCATTGCACTACAGCAGTCTGGGTGACAGAGAGAGACTCTGTCTCACACACACAACAACAACAACAACAACAACAACAAAAACACTAACCTAAATGAAAAAATTCATGTTAGACTTGTGATTCAATTTATTTTTTTTTTAAAAAAGGATGAATACAAGTAAACTATCCATGTCATTGGAAATTTTACTTCATACTTTTACACAAGACATGCATTTTTGCCTTTTTAAAATTTTTTTTATTTTTATTTTTTTTTTGAGACAGGGTCTCACTCTCTCACCCAGGCTAGAGTGCAGTGGTATGATCATGGCTTACCACAGCCTCAACCTCCCAGGCTCAAGTGATCCTCCCACTTCTGAGTAGGTGGGACTACAGGTGTGAGTCACCATGTCTGGCTAATTTTTAAAATATTTTGTAGAGACAGAGTCTCACTATATTTCCCAGGCTGGTCTCAAACTCCTGGGCTCAGACAATCCTTCTGCCTTGGCCTCCCAGAGTGCTGGGACTACAGGCGTGAGCCACTGTGTCTGGCCATCTTTGCCTTTGAAACCTTAAATGTGAATAAGTTTCCCTTGGAGATGATGCATTCTCCAATTACCTAATCTCAACCATCTAGGGAGAATTTCAGATATTATCTTGCGAAAAATAACATGTTCAATTCTACAACTCACAAAAAGTCTCTTTAATAAAAATGAACTTCAGTGCATGAAGTACATAATATACATACAGGCAGTTTATCATATTCTGCATCTGATGATGAAGGAGAGACAGTAGCACCAGGACTGGATGATGATAGCCTTAAGGTACTGGAAGGAGAGTTGGCATCTGGCACAAAAAGGACCTGAGAATGGGAGAGAAGAGATGGGTGAGTACCCGGAACCAGGCAAACCACTAGTGAGTGTTTAGAGAAGTTATTCTCTGCACAGTATCATGTTTAGTGCATGATAATGACCTCAGTTGCTTTCAAGAAACTCATAAGCAACTTATAGTGTCTTAGACTAATCCATGAAATGATACTCAGCATATGAATGTGTGTAGTATAAAGGTTACAGAACATGCCTATAGACACTGCAAGAACTCAAAAAGGGAGAGCAAGGCCAGGCACAGTGACTCATACCTGTAATCCCAGCACTTTGGGAGGCCGACGTGGGCAGATCACCTGAGGTCAAGAGTTTGAGACCAGCCTGACCAACATGGTGAAACCTCGTCTCTACTAAAAATACAAAAAAATTAGCTGGGCATGGTGGCACATGCCTGCAGTCCCAGCTACTCGGGGAGGCTGAGGCAGAAAAATCGCTTGAACCCAGGAGGCAGAAGTTGCAGTGAACCAAGATCGTGCCACTGCACTCCAGCCTGGGCGACAGAGGGAGACTCAATACCTCAAAAAAAAAAAAAAAAAAAAGAAATGAAAAAGGCAAAAAGAAAGGGAGAGGAAGGTGGGTAAGTATTCTGGGCAGGCCAAGCTAAGCAAGTGGGTCCAAGTGAAGCCTTGAAGAATAAGTAGAAATTGGATAGGAGAGAGGGGAGAGCCCTCCAGGATGGGGGACTAATAGTATAAGGGAAATGAACAGAGAGAAGCATGGCTTCTAAACTTAATATCTGTGCCAGGTAGAAATGGAACAAACCCAGCTTGCTAACTCCAAGCAGGCTCTGAGTTCTAAACTAGTATGGTCCTTATATGATAAATTATATAAGGTAATATCAATGCAATGATCCCAGCATTTTCTCTTCCATCAGTGTCTGGGTTATGTAAAACTAAAAATCCACCCCCCACGCCCCCACCAAATTATACAGAATAGCAACCTTCTGCAAAATATTCTGGTTCTCAAAACATTATTACAATCCTTACATTCAATACTCTTTTAATGAGACATGCTACATTGTGGCATCTATCAAATATAATCTTTTGCTTGTTTGTTTTTGAGATGGAGTTTCACTCTTGTCACCCAAGCTGGAGTGCAGTGGTTCGATCTCAGCTCACTGCAACCACCACCCTCTGCATTCAAGAGATTCTCCTGACTCAGCCTCCTGAGTAGCTGGGATTACAGGCGCCCACTACCAAGCCTGGCTACTGGCTAATTTTTGTATTTTTAGTAGAGACGGGGTTTCACCATGTTGGTCAGGCTGTCCTTGAACTCCTGACCTCAACTGATCTGCCTACCTTGGCTTCCAAAGTGCTGGGATCAGAGGGATGAGCCACTGCGCCTGGCCAAATATAATCTTAAAATGATGACCTTTAATGTTATAAAACAGAATTCAGAGCTAATCATGTAACAACTGATTACTGATCAATATTGGTATTCACTGTCTCCTATCTTTCCAGTCATTTAAACCTCACTTCAATCCAGAAAATATTTGAGACAACAATAAAAAACACATTAAAATAAAAGTGAGAAAATCAAAGTCAAGGAGATATAAGATGAGGATTGATTACTACTAAAAATATACGCACCAAAACTAGTAACCACTCATTAAGAAGTGGGCCATAAAAGTGACTCTAAGTTGCCATATAATTAATGCAAAGAGACGACATCATTAATTAGCAGAATTCAATTTCCATGAGATAAAAATGAAGAAGTTTCTCAGAAGTACATATACTCTCCAATAGAATCTCATACAAAGGAGCGTCCTAGACTGAACCATTTGTCCTCTATGATGCACTAATAGTAAATACAATAACCAGTTTTGGAGTATTGCTTTTTACAGCATCTTCAATATGGGTCAATGGCAAATGTCAAAGTTTATAGTTCTGTAAAAAGTAATTTACAAAGGACTAAAATTTTGTGGTCTTGGTATACAGCTCTTATTTATCTTATATTATACAGCTAAACTAGAGTAATGAATGGATGGTGTTTTTCCCAAGCAAATCTCCACTATTATCAACTTTTTTTTCATCTGAACTCTTAAAAAAAGTATTAGGTAACAGAAATTGTGATTCAATCGTCTGAACATTCCAAATGTCGAATCTAAAGAGTAATTCCTAAGCTTAAACAGTTGACTGCACTGTAGAGAGAGGTGGGCAGCAGCCAGAACATGTGCTACCTCAACATGGAAGTGAGCCTGGATCATGGGCAGGGGTGAAAGTCTCCTATTGCCTTCAGAAAGTAATTTTGGGTTTGCTCCCAACACATATGCAAATCAGGATTTGAGGTCTTAAAGTTCTTAACCATACAGCAATGCAGTCATTTTAGCCTAGAAAAAAAAATTTTAAGCATGTGTAGCCAAGGTATCCTGTGAATATGAAAATATCATAAAGTTGAGCTGGGTGCAGTGGCTCACGTCTGTAATCCCAGCTACTTGGGAGGCTGAGGTGGGAGGATTGCTTGAGCCCAGGGGATAGAGGCTGCAGTGACCCATGATGGTGTCACTGCACTCCAGCCTGGGCAACAGAGCGCGACCCTGTCTCAAAAAATAAACAAATAAAAATAAAGGAGAGAAAATATTGAACCAAAGCACATTATCATTTATGATAATACTATGACAAACAATAGTGAGACACTGAAAATGGCAATAAAAGATAAATGCAGAATTTCTAGAGTTATATACAATAAGAGTATAATTACCTGGCCTGGAACAATAGTATGTGTGAAAAGTTTATTTAGTTCCACCAATTTATTGGGAGTGATGTTAAATTTCAGTGCTATGGAGTTTAGGGTGTCCTGATTTCCAGCCTAGAATAATCAAACAAGTAAGAATCAATACATAAAGCAAAAAAATCAATTTTGATAGATACTATTAATTTATCTGCAATACGAATAAATAATAAAGTAATAGTTCCATCAAGATAGACTACAAAAAAAAGAGTGAATACGTTGTCAATTCTTAATAAAATCATTTTAAAGCAAAGTCTTAAATGCAATTCATTTCTGGGCTTCCTCATTTTCAAATTTCACTGTCCACTAATAGATTTCTAATTTTACTTTGGTGCAACTTAGGTGTATGAAATAAAGGTCCATGAGCTATAATGAAGACTACAACAAGAAAAAAATACAATGTACACACAGTCCCCACCCTCAGAGGAAGTGGGGCTACTTTCTCTCTTGTAATTTTCTGTCTATTTGCATGACTTTTCTGTATACTATAAACTGCTAGTTTGTATGGCAAAGCTGGCAAAATGTTTTCTCCTGGGTTCAGCACACTGCTTGATACATGGAGGGTACTCAAAAAGTTGATGAATGAATACTGTGAAAACAAGGAAATCAGAAAGACATTCAGATTAGCTACCAATAATTGTTCACTGTCATTAAAACCACAATTTTCTACGGTCAAATTAGTGTTATTCTCTAAATCTATGAAACTTGTGACATATGTCCCAGGTGTACACTTTTCTTTCCTTCTGTAGTAGAGGAGGAACAGGAATAGAGGGTAGTGAGGAGATGAGAAACTTTACTGGAAAACAGCTCTACCCAGAAAAAAAGTTGGCTCCCTGAGGTCATGTCAACATCCCAGGACAAACTCCCTGATCAGAGTTGCCAGATAGACTTGCTAGTGGCAGGTCACTCTGATGAATGTCACTGAGAAGTTCCCATTGATAGCCCTGGGTCAAGACCAAGTATAAGTCCTTCGTAAGCAGAACTGGCTCCACCAGGTGAGCCTTGAATTATGTGGAGATGTGAGAAGGCTGAAGGAAGATGTGGACTGGTGAAAGGGTAGAGACGTAGGAGAATTAAACCCATCGCTGCCTTCAGTATCAAAGGTCCAACTACTAGATGAACTGTCTCAGACTAAACAAAGCTTACGGTTACAGATTACATTGAAACAGCCTCAAAGCCTTTCTAGAACAAGTTAGGATACATTATATGTAGTATGTATAATTTTTTTAATCACTAAAGTAACAACATAGGCCCCTACTTCTACCCTAGGCAAAACTATCTCCACTAAAAACAAAGTTAAAAAATATTTTCAATACTGTATTATATATTTGTATACTACATTCACATTTTTATGAGTAAGCTTATAAAACATACACTGTATAGGGGGATCAGAGAGTGAGAAAAACTTTAACAATCTGCAGTTATTAAAGACAAGATATATATGTAGAATTAGGGCACAGACCCCGAGAGGGATGTTGGTATCATTAAATGACTGAAACGAAATCAGAATGTTTGATCATCCATAGCCCAGGAGTAATAAAAGCAATCGGGTAAGTGCTAGCAGATTCTTTAAACACAAATTTATATGAGTTACCTTTTATTTCCAATGACAAGCACAAAAATAACTTGCCAAATAAAACTAATCTCCATAACATAAAACAAAGAGGTAGGCATACCTGCATTATTGATTTGATCACTTGTTAATATTTAATTAATTTGGAGGGTTTTTTTTTTTGTTTTTTTTTTTTAACGGTCACTACATTGTTCAGTATATACTGTAGGAAGTAACTCCTGGCAAAAGCACCTCTCCATTCTTTGGAGGGGCATGTGAATAAAGGTGCTAGACAAATACATACAGATCTTAATGATTATGGCTTTCGAAGTAATATTGTTATTAATAATAAATAATTGAGTCCAATACTTCTTGAGTGCCTATTTTGAGGTAAGGCACTATTCTAGGTGTTATGAGGACCAACAGTATATTTTAGACAACGGTAATATAAAATATAATTATCCCAGATCCTTTCTAAAAATGACTATGCTTAAAAACTTTAGAAAGATGCCTAGAGATGCTCACAGGGCATTGAGCATGAAAGCCTGTGACAGAGATCTTCAGTATGACTCTACAGAGGCTTGCAGATTTACTATTCCAAAAGAAACACCAGCAAAGAATTAGATCTTGCTGCCTGTCTTATATAGGGTCTGACATTACTTACAAATAATGACTACAAAATAAGTACACATTAGGAAAATACAACCAGGCAACGGCAACAGCACTTAATTTCTTCTTAGAAGTCAAAGAGAACACTCCTCAAGAGTGCTATTTATTTTTTTTATTTTTATTTTATTTTATTTTATTTTTTTTTTTTTTTTGAGACGGAGTCTCGCTCTGTCGCCCAGGCTGGAGTGCAGTGGCCAGATCTCAGCTCACTACAAGCTCCGCCTCCCGGGTTTACGCCATTCTCCTGCCTCAGCCTCCTGAGTAGCTGGGACTACAGGCGCCCGCCACCTCGCCCGGCTAGTTTTTTGTATTTTTAGTAGAGACGGGGTTTCACCGTGTTAGCCAGGATGGTCTCGATCTCCTGACCTCGTGATCCGCTCGTCTCGGCCTCCCAAAGTGCTGGGATTACAGACTTGAGCCACCGCGCCCGGCCTAAGAGTGCTATTTAATAGTGAATTAAAATAGATCTACAACTGAGTGCCCACTTTGTGCCAAGCCTAGGATACATAGGATACAACAACTCCTGGCCTCCAGGAGCTTATGATGCAGTCACAGAGATGAGCACATGGCACACAGTGTGGAGCTGTAGTAATGAACACACACCTAGCATTGTTCATCTACTGCTCAACAGTAGGGAATTCCTGCAAGCTACGAGGAATATAATGCTGAACAAAGAGAGGTCTAATCTCTCTTCATGGATGTATAAATTAAAATATGAGATACAGATTAAAATAACAATATGCTAATGAATCAATAATGTCAAACTGAGATAAATTATGTTAAGCAACATGATTCTATGAGAATGTTAAAAAAGGGATCTGGCCTAGACTGGTGGGCAAAATCACAGAAGGTAGTAACAAACATGAAGAGTAAGGGAATGAAGATGTCAAGAATTAAGTTCTAGCCTGCATAAATGTAGGAATGATGGAGTCATTGTTTCCTGAAAGAGGACCAAGCATGGAGGACTAGGTGGATATGTTGAGTAGCCAAGTAAGTACATAGCTTTGGAACTTAGAAAGAATGTCTGGGTTGATGACCTAAAAGTGGTAGTCCCTGTTATATCAAAGATAATTCAAGTCATCAGCTTGTTTGGAGGTTCTAACAGGGCAACACAGTTACTGGAATACCCATGACCCAAGAAATGTCCTCCTCTATTGGGGAAGGTCATCCTCTTCATCCAGGCTCCATAGGGATGCACATAGAGTGGTGGAGGAAGAAAGGGATTCCTGCCTAGTCAGCCAGATCAGCCTAAGCAATGCTGGTGATCAACAGGGTGATGGATGTTGCAGGCAGATCACCCTTACATTCTCAAGTCACTGGTTTATTTGAGATTGACCCGGGAGAAAATATAGAGGAAAAAGAAATGACCTAAAACTGGTCTTAAGAAGCTTCATTGTTTAATGGGTACACAAGAGGAATGCAGCCAAGGGGCAGGACGTGTGAGGGAAAACCATTATATAAATCTAATGCTATTAACAAACATTTATACCACCTTGGTTATACTTACAGTGTATTCCATAGTCCCATGGGGCTTCTGAACCACCATCTTCTTCTCTTTTTTATCATGTGTTTTGTTTTGATTGTCATCTGAAGAATAAATTGTATGTAAATGAATAATTTCATTTTCAGGGACTGAAGACAGGGTAAAACTACCATGTATAAAAACCCACTTTCAAATCAACTGACAAAAAGACATTAATAGGAAAATGGACTCAGGGCACAAAAGATCATACCCATAAAAGCACACTATTGATCCTGAATAAATGATTAACATTAACTATAATTAAATAATATAAATAAAAACCATGAGGTAATGTTTATAGTTACTAATGGTTTAAATGATAATGTATAATGATTATGAAGTTAGAGTAAAACCAGTGGAGTTACTATATAAATGATGCCTAATGTAAATGAGTACAGTCCTTTTAGAAAGTGATTTGGTAATATGTAACAATAGCCATAGAAAGGTTCATTCTGACTTAGCAATCCTTCTCTTAGGAATTTATCCTAATGACAAATTCAAGAGAAGAAAAAGGCTATATATCAGCATATGGTCACTGTAATACTATTTATAACAATGAAAACAAAAAGAATACGTCCAACAACATACTAAGTTGGACCATGGATTTTACTATTTTTTGGGGGTTTTTTGGTTTTTTTTTTTTTTTGAGACAGAGTCTCACTCTGTCACCCAGACTGGAGCACAGTGGCATGATCTCGGCTCACTGCAACCTCTGTCTCCCAGGTTCAAGCAATTCTTCTGCCTCAGCCTCCTGAGTAGCTGGGATTACAGGTGTGCGCCACCACGTCTGGCTAATTTTTGGATTTTTAGTAGAGACAGGGTTTCACCATGTTGGCCAGGCTTGTCTTGAACTCCTGACCTCAGGTGATCTGCCTGCCTCAGCCTTCTGAAGTGCTGGGATTACAGGTGTCAGCCACCGCACCCAGTCAGATTTTGCTGTTTTTATAGGTCAAAAATGGCCAACCATTGGCACCTGCATATGATTCAACCTAACTGTCAGGGTTAAATATATCCTGATATACTAATTCAGATATCAGAAACCCCAGAACCATACTGCAATAGATAAAAATGTGACAAAAAGAATATAAAATTGAATTAACCATGAAAAGATGCTCCAACCTGTATGGGATCAGAAAAATGCGAATGAAAACAATATATCATTTTACACCTACTAGCCTGGTAAAATCAGAAAGCTGTATAATTCCAATGTTGATGGAAATGCGAATACTACAAGGAATGTAAACTGTTCAGTCATTCCAGAGAATTAAGTATATATAGCTCATATGACCTAGGAATTTAATTCACAGATAAGTATCCTTTCCCAACAGGTATATACTTTATGTACACCATAAGGGACCAGCTGGAGGATGTTCATCACAGTATAATCTATGGCAGTGAGGAGATAGAGGGTAAATAAAGCATGGTAGGTAAGCTCTGGGAATCCAGAGCAATTAGATTCCAGCAATTAGAAATAATAAGCCATAAATATACACCAAAAGTGTCAACAGGTTAACATCAAGAAAAACTGAATGGGATGTTAGTATCCATCTGTTTTAAACATACATCACAGATGGACACTAAAAAAAAACCACACAAATAATTTTCAGAAGTACATAAAAATAAAAACCTATACACATTGAACACAATAGAATAGTGTCAAGTTGGGGAAGAAACGGGAGTGCAGAATGAGAATAAAAGAGAATGAATGATAAATGACAAGAAGCCGAGCTTGGATCAGTAATGATAAACCATGATCTGAGAAGGGTGATTAACTCAGCCCTCTATATCTGAGGTCCTACAAGCACACATACACACACACAGAAATGTCTCAATGACATCATTTCATCTATATCACAAACATGGGGGTCCTAGATGAAAACCGAGGGGTGACATAGAAACATGAACATAGTTAATTCACATAGGATTTATCTGACTTTTAAGTATTTCCTCTATATTATTTAAAAATTAAAGCTAAGAGGAAAAAATAAAACTTAAATAGATGCTTCCATTACAGTCCTGTTCTAGTCATCTATATCTTCAAATCAGAACTATTCATGGAACCAAAGAGACCCTGAACATTCCTCTAGACTATAAGAAATGATCTCCATACCTACAGGCAACCACATCTAAATTACTTCAGGAAGACAGGACTATTGACTACGTTTTTAGATCTCCAGATAAGGAGATTCCAAAGTGCAATCACCATATTTTACACATCTTAGGAAGGAAAAAATGTAAAAACTGGTTTGCTTAATTCTTGGCAGGTAAGCAATAAAACATTAACAATACTCGTCTTTCTTTCCTTCTAAAGAATCTGAAAAATCTTAATTGTTTGCTTTTGCTTTGTTTACATGGAAGATGAATGCCCCAGGTTAATTCTTCCCCATAGTTTCTTTTGGGATTAGGTTAAGTGTTGTTCATTCCTTTTAATATCTCAGCTCCATTTTCTTTGTTGCATACTTCTGCCCTTCTTGCTGTCATCATAAACAGCTGTCACTTAAGGTCTTCGTGCTATCAGAATAGTTTCTTTATATCATTTTGTAGGTAGCTTCCTATTTCTAGAGCCCACAATATGCTTCCTTCTTCCCATGTCTGGCAGCTTCTGGCCAACGGCCTTCCATAAGCTGTAGCTAGATATCTCTGGTCCCAATGGGCAACACTACTAAAAGCCACCAAATTGTGACAGTTTACATACTGCACAGCTACAAAAGAAAAATGCATGTTGGCTAAGCCTTGCAGGATAAACTTAACAATGTACACCTGAGTTAGTGCAAAATTTAAATTACCTTCCACTGCCACAGGTGGGTAGGTTAGAAAAATGTCAAGCATGTAGTATTACTAATGGAAAAAAAAAAAACAGAAAACAAAAAATGCCTTCCCATCAGAGTCTAAGCTGTTGAGATCATGGAGGTAAAGACCATGATGTACCACCCATCCTTAAATGTCTTATGTCTTTTTTTTTCTTTTTTTTGAGACAGGGTCTCACTCTGTCACCCAGGCTGGGGTGCAGTGGCACTAACATGACTCACTGCAACCTCCACCTCCAAGACTCAAGCAATTCTCCCACCTCAGCTTCCCGAGGGGCTGGGACTATAGACTCATGCCACCACACCAGGTTAATTTTTGCATTTTTTTGGAGAGATGGGGTTTCACCATGTTGCTCAGGCTGTTCTCAAATTCCTGCACTCAAGTGATCTGCCCACCTTGGCCTCCCAAAGTGGTGGGATTATAGGTGGGAACCACTGCACCTGGCCTTGTCTTGTATATATGGTTGAATAAACCTTTCAGTACAGATGAATAAGCCTGATAAGTTTGATTGTGAGGCAACACTTTTCACTGATGTAACATCACACCAGGCAAATCATGTGCACCTGCCAAAGCCACGAGGCAAATACTATGTTTTACAGTTGGCTCAATAGAGAAGCAAAGAGGATCTAATTTAATTGCCTTTATATCATTATAGCTCAAGGCAAGGTTTCATATTGCTTCCAAAATAATTGTTTTGCAGTGAGTTGAAAAGATGGTAAACTATGTGTCTCAATGAGTGAAGTCCTGTGTGTCTGGGAACTGGGTTCTGCAGCACATAGTCCACAAAGCACTGGAGGGGCTTCTGGCCCTGGTGAGATCTAGGACGAGGCATGAGCTGCCATGGGAAAGGACCACTCCACTGTGCTTTAGGATGGTGCTCCAACCCTAGCGTTTTAGGTAAGGATCCATGCCCATCCTAAAGGGTGCAACTGTCTTCCAATGACACTGATCTTTCCGGCTTCAGGCCTCCTCACAGACCTTTCCACCTATCCAAATTCTGACCCTCCTCCTGTGTACAAGAACCTGAGGCAAATGACATAAAAGTATCTACTGCCAAGGGGAAAGTTGGCTGAGTATCCCTCAGAAGCCATTTACAGCAAAGCAACTGAACCTCATACCTGCCCACTTCTAAAATAAAGTCTTCAAAGCAGGTTTTCTCCAGTCCAATAAGGGGTACCTGTAACAAAACTGACAAAAACCCTAGAAGAATAAAATACAGGCCCTTCAGCCTAGCCCATTTCTTTCTGCATAAATCCTGGAGGTAGGAGCTGGAATGGGAAGGAAGAATGGGGTACCTGTGTTTACCTCAACCCAAGTGGATCTTGGTGCCCTGTTCATAAGTCCTGCCATCCCCCTTGTCACCCCATAAAAGGGCCTGGAGTGTCCAGAACACAAGACTCTAAGCTCCTGCATCTGAGACGATCCCCAATACAAGTTTACAGAAAGAAGACTCCTCTTTCTCCGTGCACTGGGGCTAAAAGAAGATGCTACCTAGCAGTATGCCTGGGGCCTGGAGGGGCATGACAGCCAGATGTGAAGGTATCCCTTGTAGCAGGGATACTGAAGTCTTGGATGAGGCTATGACATCAAGAGAATAAATTTTAAGAGGAGGCCTGAAGTTTGAGAACAGAATCTAAGGAAGGCTTGATTTAAGGATTGAAAAAAATATGGCTGATATAAAGGGGGAAAAGCAATTACAGGGATGGGAAAATGAATGCAATGTCACAGAGGCCATGGAAAAAAAGAAGGTGGTGTGGACACTGTGAAATGCTGAACAGAGGTCCAGAGATGGAAACCTGGAAATGGATGAGTGGAATTCACAGAGAGGTTCTGAAAGTAAAGGGAGCTCAAGACAGATGCTGTCAACATCATCAGTAGAGTAGGGGTAAGGTCATCTGCTAAAATGTAGTGCAGTGAGGGTATGATTGAGGGAGTAAGAGTAATGAGATTTGGAAGAGTTACTATGGCAAAAATGAGGTTTCAAAAATGTGAACATTAAGAAGTAACACTATACTCTGGGGTGGGGTCTCAACACCAGGGTAACAGGCCACATAAGAAGTAGGCAAATAAGTGGCTACCTGTGTGGTTATACAGAGCAAGGCAGCTGGAGCTGGATGAGCAGTGGCTGAGATACAGGTAGTGAGATATCAGAAGAGTTGGGGGAATGGCATGATGAATGAGTTTCCTATTGCTGCTATTACAAATTACTACACATTTGTGGCTCAAAATAAAGCATAAACGCAGATTTATTATTTTA